AAACTTTTTATCACTTTTTCTTAAAGAGAAGGATTCTGATTTCTCAAAACCTGAGTGAGCAAAACAGCATATACTTGTGTGTTGCTAAAGCATCATGTATCAATGTGTTCAGTTGCAATGTGTTCACTTCCTTCTTTCCATCTCGGGCTTCATGGGCTGTTGTCTTTTTTTGTGTGCTGAAGACTTAGTTAAAGCTACGTCTGGCCTTGATTCAACAAAGATTTAAGCACATACTTAGAATTAAACACTTCCATTGCAGATTCCACTTTGTGAACTCCCAGATATTTGCTTCTGCTCTCATACTGTGGAGTGTCTCTGGTGAATATTCTGAGACCAGAACAGTCTCTTTCATTATGGTATATTTTTTAGTTTCAGTCCTGCTATCTTTTTAGAAAACAGCTGTATTCTCCAAGTTAATCGAATTCACAAATTAAATCCCAGTTGCCTCTGTAATTTATTGCTCAAACTCTTCTCTTTCCTCTGCTGCTTTTCCTCACATAGGATCTTGCTTTTTCTCCTAAGAGAAATAGATACCATATCCTCTTCCTTCAGTCCTTTCTCCTCCACTGTCAGAGCAGCAGAAGTTTCTTGTCTACTTTCCATCTGTACCCCCTCCACTTGCCCCAGTGACCCCATGTTCACTGTTCTTCCTCTTATTCCTTCCCTCCCTTATTCTCTTTCTTAACCTCTCACTGTCCTCTGGCTCTTTTCCACTTGCAATATAAGCAAGCATTTGCCTCTTAAAAATTGCACCTTTGACCCTACTTGGTTCTTCATATCATATCTCATCGCCTATCTCTTCTTCATTCCTAACTCATTGAAGGCGCTGTTTATAATTACTGTCTAGAGACCCTCTTCTGTGATTCCCTCCTTTAACTCCTACACTTTGGCTTCTGTTCCTTGCTTGCAACTGCAACAACTCTCACCAAACTCCCTGATGACAAGATCTCAGAAACAGTAGTCTCTCCTCATTCTTCTTGATTTGTCAGTAGTGTTTGCCACAGTTGACCAGACTATTCCTTTAACTTGTGTCTTCTGCTGCTCTCTGTGGCTCTGTTTTGGTAATTTTCTTCTTTCCAAGCAGTTCTGCAGAATGCCTTCAAAGTTGTTTCCCATGTTGGAGTTGAGTCATGTGGGTGGAGGTCTTGGGGCTCTGTATTCTCTTGTGATTTTAATGCCCTTTGGGTTCTTTCATACCCAAAAATAAAAGAAAAATGTAACAGACAAATTTATGTGTAGATAACAGATCTGCTTTTGTATTGAAACATATTTCCTCACACATGCACTTAATGGTTTGGAAACACACAAATGCAATTACGAAACATCCCACACAGCACTGCCTTAATTCTAGATTTCCTGGCAAATACACAGACCAGACATATGATTATTTTCTATCTTCCACACAGACGTTGTGTTTTCACATGCTAGGCACTCTGTACACCCACTAGCAGTACTCAATGCTTGCCTGCCTATGTTCCAGCTTGCATGTAGTTTTCTGCAACTGACTCAGATTGTATTTCATTTCCTGTAAGAATACAGCAAGACCTTTTCAAAAAGAGTTCCACAGGGCTTCATCCTGTGTTCTTCAGCATTTTCATAAATGACTTGGACACAGGACTGGAAGGGATACTAAGCAAGCTTGCAAATGATACAAAACTGTGAGGAGCTGTCAACTCCCTCGAAAGCAGGGAGGCCCTGTAGAGAGACAGTGACAAATTAGAGGGCTGGGCAATCACCAACCATATGAAGGGAATGTCCCACATTCTGCCCCTGGGATGGGGCAAGCCTGGGTGTATGGACAGACTGGGGAATGAGATGCTGGAAAGCAGTGCCCAGAAAGGGACCTGGGGGTCCTGGTCAATGGCGAGTTGAACATGAGTCAGCAGTGCTCTGGCAGCCAGGAGGGCCAGCCCTGTTCTGAGGGCATCAGGGACAGCATTGACAGCCAGGCAAGGGAGGGATTGTCCCGCTCTGCTCTGCTCTGGGGTGGCCTCAGTTGTGTGTGGTTTTGGGTGCCACAATACAAGAAAGATATTTGTGAGCATTCAAAGAAGGGAAACAAAGATGGCAAAGGGCCTGGAGGGGGAAGTTGTATGAGGAGCAGCTGAGGTCACTTGGTCTGTTCAGCCTGGAGGAGACTGAGGGGAGAGCTCACTGCAGTTATAGCTTTCTCAGGAGGGAAAGAGGAGGGGCAGACACTGATCTATTGTCTGTGGTGATCAGTGACAGGACCTGAGGGAATGGCCTGAAGTGGTGCCAGGGGAGGTTTAGGTTGGATACCAGAAAAAGGTTCTTCACCCAGAGGGTGGCTGGGCACTGGAACAGCTCCCCAGGGCAGCCTGACAGAGTTTGAGAAGCATTTCAACAATGCTGTCAGGCACATGTTGTGACTCTTGGGGATGGTCCTGTGCAGGGTCCAGGAGCTGGACTCAATGATCCTTGTGGGTCTCTTCCAGCTCAGCTTATTTGGTGATTCTGCTATTTTATGTCCTCTATTAAAAATGCTTATCCTGATGTATGTCTGAAGTGCACTTTGCTCTTTTATAGCTGAATTTTAAGTATTTTGCTTTCAAATTTAATGTTATTGTCACATCTCTACTTTTTATTCCAACTTACTAAGTGAAAATATTAGATCAAATTCTGCCAAGCTCATTCTTGATGAACTCTACTGAAATTTTTTTTTTCATTATTCACAGGACTTTGTTGTCTCTCTGGTAGGAAGAGAATTTTCCTGTCAAATTCTTTTAGTAATCCCTGTTTTCTCCAGTTTAATATTAAATATCAGATGCCCAGATAGATTATATCTATCATATTTTCCTTGTTTAAAATGTCAGTCTAGTTGCAATGGTGTAAGTATGCAGAGAGTTCATAATCTCAAACAGATTTGTGTATTGTAGCAGGCAGATTCCTCAGGTCACCACATACTTTCATACCCCAGCAGGCCCAGCTGAATTATGTGAGCTCCGGCAAGTTTCTGCTCTCTGGTGTGAACCACAGGGAGTATTCTGTTGTTCTCTAGATACCTTTTGGCCTGCTTTTACTTTTGTTTGCCCTACTCCATCCCAGATGTCGTTCATGCCACATTATCACTACCAAATGCATGTCTTCTTGATCTAACATATGCAGCTATTAGGAATGTGTGAAGATATGTAAGTAAAGGGAACATGTGCACATATGTACTATATGTTTTGCATTTACTTAGTATTTAGTACTGTTCTTAATCACTTCATAAAAAGTGCTGTGACTGATATTGAAAATAATTTCAGTAGGTGTATGCAGTCACTAGCTCTAGGCACTGTAGTGTTATGTAAAAAGCAATCCTTTGGGTCTGAAATTCTTCACGCTTAGTTTCATTTGAAAAACTGTGAGCATAAAAAAAATTAAGGAAATTATCCTGAATTGATTTCAGTTCTGTGTCACTGAAAATCAGGACAGTGTTTAACTGTTAACAGTAGCTACATTATCTTTAATGTAGATATGAAAATTCAGAATTTTGGAATTTAAACAGAGGCATCTAAATTGGGGCTGATAGTTAATGAATTCTGTGGCCAAGTTTCAAAAACCTGGTTTTCATAATGACATATAGATAATTGAAATCATGCCTAGTAGGCATCTGGATTAAAATTATGAGCAGGATGTAATGGACCCAACCACTTTTGTGGAAACAAAATTCATTTCCATTTCTTTGTCAGAGCTAATCAAGCTCTTTTTAGATTTAAGGTTGGCTTCATTCTTACTGTTACTTCTAGTAACATGTCTTCATATAAGGGATGGAATATGCTCTATGCATTAAAATATGGACATTTTTTTCACAATTTGTTTTTGCCTGTTACTGATCCTAATTTCACATTCTATCAATCAATTTCTCCTTCAACTGCAAAGAAACAATACATCCTTTACCCCATGGACCTTGACTACATACAAACTGGCATCTGTTCAATCCCTTTTGCATTATACAGTGTATAATTTTACATTATATCCTTCAGTGTTGAGCGAAAGGGAATGATGGGAGATCGATGAAGGCTCTTGTTCTCCTATTAAGCAGTTGAGCAACCTCCCACTGGGACTGGGGCTCTGCAGGCCTCTGAATCTGTTGTAAATCCTTTTACAGTCACACTTTTTATTTTGACTGGATGTTTCTGGTTAATCATATTCCTGATCAATTTAAGATAAACAATTAGAAGTTTAAATTAGAATTTCATGGGTCTTAATTGTCATTAAAAAGAGGATATTTAAACTGAATTCTATGCTAATAGAGCATTAGGGCTGAACAATGGAAGTTTGGTTGTGGCTTTCAGTTTTTGTTCTTTGTGGAGCCAATAGCTGCTGAGGGACACAGTTTGGCTTCTCAGTTTCTTCTTGTCCCAAGGCATGCCTAAATTACAGCTTGCAATGGAGCTATAATTCTTCTGGGGCACTGGGAGAGAAATGCCAGTACAGAGAGAGCGTGAAAGCTTCCCCATTCACCACAGTTCTGATGACTTATGTCCTCATTACAGTTCTGATGAGATGGTGGGGTTGTCAGAAGTATTCTGTGTCCGTGGTTCCTCACTATGGATAGTAGTACAAGGAAGAAAGTGATATCTTTGAATACCTTGTGAGGGCAAGGCAAGGCCAAGTTTCAGCTGACTCTTGCAACTTCAGCTGGAAATACCAAGAAAAACCAAGTCTCCTGCAACATTGTAAACTTGGCCACGTTGGCAGTCCTTTACAACTTGTAACATATATTGAGCATAAATAAAGATTTGCATTGCTGTTCTGTGATCTGAAAGGAAAATTGATAAACCTTCTGTTGTCATCTGATGTAATTTTAACTTTTCATTCAAATCTTTATTGTACATTGATTGGTTTATGTGTTCAAAATTATATTTAATCTATTTTTTGATGTAGTGTGGATGAATATATATATATATATATATATATATATATATATATATATATACACACATACATATATACATACATATAAACCAGAACGTTGTGTGTTCTTTTTGTTATAGGTATGTGTCCTGTGCCTTGGGATGCCCATATGAAGGAAACGTTGCACCAGATAAAGTGGCAGAAGTAAGAATTAATTTCTGGCTTGTCTTGTTAATGAATCAAAAATACATTTAAAAATGTCTATAAGTAATTATCTCTACTTAACCATAAAAAGATCTTTAATGGATAAAATTTAAGGAAAACAAGCAAAAAACCTAATACTAAAACTTGGTGCAGCATAACCTCACTTAACCATATACAGTCAAATGTGAGAAAAATAGCATATTTTGATTGTTATCAGTCATGAGAAAAAATATTATGCACTATTTCATCTAACAAGAAGGTAAGAAATTACTTAAGAAAATAGACTCTAGCACATATGTCAGTGGACTATGTTGTACAAGAGGGTTTTCTGCTCAGCTTTTTGCTTTTTAAATTCATTTTATACTGGAATAAGCACACTGTGTTGTCATTGTGCTTCTAGTGAGGGTCATGTGATTGACATGAACCAAAACTCACCCCCACTACGATTTCTTAAATTGCTCTAGTGCCATGATGGAGTAAGTTGCACCTTCCCTCCCTGCCCCTGTTCTCCATTTAGAATATAAGATAAGGGAGAAGATATCTTAGTCCAGCCCTTTTTCCAGAAGAGAGATGAGTGAAACAGAAGTGTTAAAATTTTGTAGGAGGGCAGAGAAGGCATCAAAACTTAAATGGACTGGAAAAAAAAGAAAGTGGAGTAAAAATTCCAGGAGGCTTAAGACAGAACGTGCTGGCCTTCCACCTAGAGACAGACTTGTCTTCTCTGTTACACTTAATCACCTGTTTTTGTTGATCTAGCAGAATATCCAAACCATTATTTTTTAATTTGTAGCACTAGCAAATAGTCAACACTTGTATGATATATTATGTTCTTTCTGGGTGGTTTTCGGGTCCTATTTGCCTGCATCTTCTTCTAGTATACATTCTAGATGAAATTTGTTATAATACTTCTCCCACAGCATCCACACATACTCAGACTCTTTGAAAAAAAAAAGCTAATTTGGAAAAAAAAAAAAAAAAGCTAATTTGGAAGATGGTATTTCCAAATGGATTTATTTTAATATGAAGTGAATGTTAGAAATGGCACAGCTTTACTTAGAGCAGTGATGACATACTGCTTACCATGTTCCCCAACAGGCTTCTTTCCATTGCCTGTTTTTTACTGACTCTCCTTGCACAGAAGAGCTCTTTCTCAGTTTGCCAGTGGGATTGCTATTTACTCTTCTAGACCTGCAAACTTTTGCTCACACAGCTATTTTATTTTCTATCTTCATCCTAATAAATGTCTTCTTGCACACCTGTATACCACTGTGTATGTGTTCATGAACAAAAACTACCACATTAAATTTATTAATTCCATCTCTGATTCAGCTATCACTGCTGTATATATAGAAGCATCTGATAACTTTTATATAAATACATGCACAGAATCAGCATTACAAAAATTACTACACTCTTTGAGTTGCTAAACCCTTTCAGAGAGCTGCTGCTCTGGTCATCATCTTTTTGGGATGGGAGTATTTTGACTCCTTTGACTGTGTATTGCAATCAGCAGCTATGATTGAAAGGTTTAGACAGTTTCTCCTGCAGTCAGTAACAGTGACCATTTTCAGGTTTTTTAAGCAAAATATTTTTTAACTGAAGCAAAAACAATCATAAGAGGTGGATTATTTCAGACTACATGCATTATTACAGATTGTTGCAGACTACATTAATTTCTGGAATACTAGATACGTAACTGCTTTACACAAAGTTATTGAGTGAGTGCAAAATTCAGTTGCCTTCAGACTTCTGGAATCTGTCAGGTGTATTTGTATGGTTCGTTATTTAAAACAAACAAACAGTTTTCATATCCTAAAATAAATTGCCTAGTCTTATCTTATTACTCTGCTGATTCTTGAAAGGAAGTCACTGCTTAACCATTTATCATTTTGTGGTTTGAGTATTTCAACTTTAGGCAGATAAAGCTTGAAAGTTTTCAGAAACACTGTATAACATCCTTGAAGCCAGTTGTATAATCCATTATCATATAATTCCATCATATACTTGGCTGGTTTTGTCTTTGTGTCTGCTTATTTCTTTCCTTAGCTTCCTTTTAACCTAAAGCAGTGAATTCATTAAATTAAATATTGTCCAGGACACATTCTGATCAAATTATAGGAAACGTATCTACTGTTGTTTGAATATTATTGGATAATTAAAGTTTCCCTTACAGCACAAGAACTGCAGGTTTGTTTTTTTGTTTTGATTGTTAGTTGCTTAAAATAATTATAACTCAATTATTGACTTTTGTGTTCAATATAGGAGTATAGTGTTCGATATTATTTCCAGGAGTAGGACTGTTCACGTGCCTAAGAGGTTGCGGTGCTGGTTCCCCAATTCCCATTTGATCAATGCTTGGTGTCAAGCAGCATTTCCAAAGGGAGCAGCACAAGACTCATATGCATAGCAAAACTGCTCAGTGGAGCAGCACACAACCCTGTTCAATCAACAAAGCTGAAAGCTCATAATCACGTCCTGATTACATAGAAAAAACAGTGTTCTCTTCTCCCACACTCTGCTCCCAAAAATCCACTTAGAAAACTTACAAAGCTATAACTAACAAGCTGCCTTCTACTATGTTAGAATAGAAAATTCAGTACAAAAACTCCCATTCAGCTTCCAAGCTATAAATTAAATATAAATCTCTTTTTCAGTTTAGATCGTGATGAGTCAGTGGTGATGCTCAGCTTCTTCAATCCTCTCTTCTTCCATCTTTCAGAACTCTGCATTAAGGAAAGACCTAAGGACTGAGTATGAAAAAGAAGTGGATGCAATATGATTTCTAGCAGTTTATATAGTCCAAGTTATGACTAAAATGCTTACCTAGAAAAACTTTGACTCATGCATTAAAAAGAAGAGAGGGGAAAATGCAGTACGTTTCTTTGCCCTGATCTTGAAGAAACACTAAGTTTTGGGATTTAACTGAACTTAATCCACTGCTAACTGCAGATGATCCTTTTTCTTTCTTACAACAGTAGTCTAGTTAAAATGCTTGCCATGTGCTGATGATATAAAAATATGCTTTGAGATGAATCCCTTTTGCATTCCGGTGAATGTCTCTGTCTTAAAATGTATGTTGAATTTATGTGTGTATAAACCAGGGAATCTGACTTTAAAGCACAGTTTTACCACATTTGCAATAGTCATAGCACTTCCAAGCCTTAAACAGGATGATTCAGACTATTTCTTTTTTTCAGCTGTTCTTTTTCAGCTGTTCTTTGAATTAAGTGAACAGCAATATTAATCCAGCGCTTCCGAGACTGCTGGTGCAGCACTTTGTCCGCTTCCTCAGACATGCTCACAGCAATCCCACTGATGGAGTCCTGGAATTGTTTTAACAGCAGACTGCAGTGTGACTTAAGATGTCTTTTTGGAAGAGGCTTGTATTTTTTCATCTCTAAACAGTTAGTTTCTAAACTGGGATTCTGTTCCAGTGGAGTGGTCTTTTGGGATCTTTCATACACAGTGGGGAATGCTAAAGGGGACAAACATATTGAGCAGCTGAAAATAAGGTGGAATCTTTCCAAATGAATCCAACAAAAATAAGATGGAAAGCTCTTGCATTCAATTCCTGAAGCAATGTTTTCAATGAAAATATGATTTTGTGCTTCTGAATGTGTTTCTCTCCATGCAAAAATTATGGAGCCAGACCTCAGTTTTCACTCATGCAAAGAACTCCTTGAAGACGTAATTCCAGAAATATTTAGGGCTCTGCTTACATAAGTAAGACCTATTTGTATATGGTTTTGTTTGATATTAAGAAAATTTTTAAAACTTAAGGACTAGAATGTTAATTAAGTTGCAGTTTTACTTTGTTATTATTTTAATGTTTGATTTCATAAAAAGCAAGCAAAATTAATGTTGACTGCAGCACATTAAAATTTCAGTTTTCATTGATTTTTTAAGTGCCAAGAGAAAGAAAAATGAGGCTTTTTGTTAATTATTTATTATCTTTGTTGTCTTCATGTAATATGCAAACAAAAGCACAGGTCTTTGCTCTGCACAACTTGTAAGCTGAAAAGTACATGGAGAAAACCAAACAGCTGGGAAGTCCCCAGAGAGAAGAAAATGTTAGGAAAGGGCTTGACAGAAATTTCATTCATAATTTTAAAATTTTGTTTGGATTCTGTAGGAGAGTCAGAAAGCAAGTTTTTGATGGATTTGAGTTGGTTAGCTATTCCATGTACAGAATGTAGCAGAACTACAATTTTAAAATAAGAGAATCTGTGGATATTCTTCTTCTTCTATGGCAGTTTTCAAGAATGAATATAGGTTGTCTGATAAATAGATCCACCTCAGTAGGTCAAACCCCAAAATCTGTACAGAAGTATGTCCTTTCTAGTGTATGTTCTTGACCCTGTTTTGTACTTTTTCATCTTGACCTCTTGGTGTTTTTCTGTTTCCAATCAGGTGTCTAAGCGGCTGTACAGCATGGGCTGTTATGAAATCTCTCTGGGAGATACAATTGGTGTGGGGACGCCTGGAAGTATGAAAAAAATGCTGGAAGCTGTTATGAAAGAAATTCCTTTGAGTGCTCTTGCTGTTCACTGTCATGACACTTATGGCCAGGCCTTAGCCAATATCCTCACAGCCATGCAGGTGACTTGATTTTTCCTTTTATAATATACAGTAACAGTATTTTAATTCAGTGTGCAATGTTAAAAAATCCTGCTATTAAAGAAATCATTAGAAGAGCAAAAAGGCACTCACTAAACTTTCAGAAAATATTCCTCACGCATCAGATTGTCTACTGGTATTAATTGCTGCTGCTTTTACCAGGAAATGTCAAACCTTTTATATTAATTACCTTCAATTCCATACAAAACAACTAAGAAACAGTTATGATTATTACATTTTAGTGACATTAGATGAAGGAGGGACATTAAATATTTTTTTCTGGTATCTCAAGTTCCAGTTTTCTTAGGAACAGCTGTATGTTTGTTTTTCACTAAACTAAAATTTCTGCTTTGTGGATGTGTCTAAAAATAAAATGGAATAATGCATAATTACATCTTGATTTCAGATGGATGAATCTAAAAGATTGGTAGTTATGTACACAGAATAGTCTAGATAATTTTATCACTATTCATATGCCTTCATTATTCTTTTTTGTTTATCAGTTATGCCTTCCAAGAAAGATTAGAAACAACTTTATATCTTATTTAATCAGCTTTCAAATCTGTGCCTAAATTATCGGAGTTAATTTCCATAAGAGTTTCAGAATAGGACACAATGCAGAAAACGGACTTCAAGTTCTAATGTAGTTTTTGTCAAGATACACTCTTGAAAAATTGCTTAAAATGCATATGCTTTGCTAAGGAGACCTACTTTTACTAAGGGTTACAGAGTCATTGGCTATTTACAAATTGTGGGCCTTTAATGTTCTGCTTTATACTTAATGGTGTCTTCTGTTTGCATGCAATTCAGGCAGTCATTTTGAAGGTCAAAGTTTCCTTTGTCTGCCTTGTTATTTTGGCAGACCTCATATTACGTTTTTTAGCTACAATTCTGTTAACAGTGTTAGTGGCATATGCCACAAGAAGGAACAAGGAAAGTTTCCATGTGGGAATCCACAGGTATTTGATTAAATAGGGAATGACAAAATCTGGTTTTCTTAAGAAAGGTTCTAACTTTTACTCACAGCATTCACTGTTCACCCTTACTCACTTTTACTGTTACAAATGTAACATGTATGTATCATGGGATAAATAAATTGCTAATTTCACAGTTAGCTTCAGTTGCAGATGCAATAGCTAAAAGCATATAAACCCCTGAGCATGGGAGGAGTTGGCCATAAAAATACTTGAAGCATTGTTTTTCAAATCCTTCTTTTAAATAATTGCTGTCATGGTGCCTACTAAACACTGAACAATGGCTTTGCTTTGTTAACTCCAGCATTTGTTGGAAGTGATTCTTGTCTCATGTTTACCTCTTGCTATCTTTCCGTTTAGTTCTTAAACCAACTCTGTAAGAGCTAAAGGAAAAAAAAAAATCTCTTAGGTACCTAATGTGCAGTTTAGGATAATTAACATGCAAATTCAAGAGAGCAAAAGACTTAAATTCTTATGCAACCTTTTCAGATTTCTGGGAAGGCAAGGGTGCCTGAGACCTACCAGAAAACTTCCCTCTGTTGTCAAGGTCTCCTAAAGTACATGTCTAAAGATGCAGTGGTTTTGGCTGAGCTGAACTTGTCATAGAGTTTGCCAAAAGTCCTTGATGAAGCAGGCATTACACAGTCTCTCTGACTGGCTTTGTGCAAGCAGCTCCTTGGCTCATGTAGAAGAAGGTCCCCAGGCTTTTGTATCCTCAAACACATCCTGCACTTCACGGCGTCCTCTCTTGTCTCTGGTCAAAACCCCAAGGCAGCTAGCAGTGAATTATAACTCCTTCTAAAGCAATACTCCTTCTGAAAGAGGGACTCCTAAATTGCAGGTCAGCTGTGTGGTGAAGTGCTAATCAGAGTGCCCAGGTCACTTCTAGTCCCTGCCTGTGCTTTCCTTTCTGCCAAGATGCAGGAATGGCAGAACACTGGAATAAAAGCCCATGTCTTCAACTCAGCTGCTGTTTCCTAAACCAAACTCCTCTCAGACACAATTCCTTTCCCTTCCCCATTTATGGGTCTGCGTGACCGACACAATATTTCAGCAAGAGTGAAATGTGTTTGGGGGGTCATAGAAATAATAGGCTACAGTTATTGTTTGAAAACACATTTAAAGAACATTCAGCAGACAAATTACACTCTTCCTAAGACATTGCTGAACAACCCCAGGCTGAGTACTGTTGTATTGTATATTGTGTTTCCTAAGAATTAATGAATGACAGCTGGAAAGCCACAAATCACTCTGCACTAATTCAGGCATTGCTTCGCTGGGAGATCTCCTAGGAGTGGAAAGAGTTGCTAGTAATTCAGTAAGTGATTTTTTATACAGATCACATGGTTTCATGCAGGATTATACTACCCAGAATATTTTCTTTCATTTGGGGCTGATCCAAAGTCATCTAGAACTGACAGGCCGTATCTGTATAAGAAATTAGGAGGGCAGTAGTCTCGCAATTTTAGTATTCAGTTTTATATGTGTTGTTTTAGCAAAAGGATAGGTAGTGAAAGATGGGAGAGAGGTTAGCCAACTTTTAAAGTATAAGTAATTTTTTGAATTGCCGAAGCAAATGATACAGATAGAAAGGAAATTCACTTCATTTTATGAAAATAATCTGTGTAAAAATGTGAGTAACACGAAGTGATGCTTCAAAAGAAACCAGTAAACATTTAAAGTAGAAACATGACTGGCTCTTGGTTACATGTCTTAATATAAAACTACCAGAGTATAGAATTTACTAAAAAGACAATTCAGAAGATGGGAAATGATGTAAAGATCTAGTTAGAGGTTATGGTATTTTGAGTAAAATTACACGTGTGCATTAGATAATGTCACAAACACATAGTGTAGCTAACAGAAATAGTAAAACATTTATAGGAAATTGTTACAGACCTCCAAGGAAGGCTAAAAAGATGGGTCAGGAAACTTCTTTCAGGAGAGGCCCTGCTAAGGTGGGCTTACCTTATTTAAGATCTAAGGAGATTTGAGTTTCATTGGCAATTGACTTCTGTTGTGTGTACAGAAGGGGTGTGGAAAGGAAAGTGCTTAATGGAAGTGTTAAAGAACTCTTTTCCTGTAAAACTTGTGTAGTTACCAGACATAGATTTGTCTGTCTTTATAACATATATTCAAACAAGAGAAAGAGTATGCTAAGAGGCAAAGAAGATATTTGTCTGGCTGTGATACCTGAATAAAGGAAACAACCATATGATTGTCCCATAGAATTTTATCAAATACAAATTGCTATTCTAATTCATTAAAATGAACTGATCCCTACACTATGAGGATCAAATTCTAACTTAAAGAAAACAATTATAAAACCCTAATGACTTAGAAAGACCAAGGATTTTTATCACCTCGTGTAATCATGTTCACCCCATTGGACACAGAGAGATGAATGAGATTGATTACATGCTAAATGAAACTTCATTTTATGAGTTCTGTCTTTCCAGGAAAAGGATTTTTTAATGTAAAATCCCCACTTTAGTACCAAAACCAGAATTTATCAAGCCTTTAATTAAACTTTCAAGGTTCAGACTGCAAAATCCAGAGTACAGGTTTTTATTACAAACATAATATTCCCCCTTTTAGAGAGCTTACAATATTTAATAACATTTTATTAATTTCTTTAAGATCCTTGCATTTTAAAGATGAAATAAACTTAAGAGAAAAGTAAATCCAAATAAAAATGGCTGACTGCTGACCTTTTCCCTTCATCACTTAACTAAATTGATTCTAGTCTCTTGCTGTATGCTAGAGACCCTAACTAAACTGCATATTTTTGTGCATCCAGTTTCCTTGTGTTGTAAAATCATCTAGGTTCACTCAAAGGTGCTCAGTATTGGCCTGGCTGTTTTAACTGCCAGAGACAGGAGAGGAATCTGAATGTAGGTGCTGAAGTTCATGATTTATTAATTGACAAGGACCATTTTTTACAGGAATAGAGCTTACAACAGCCAGCAGCATGAAATGGTAGAGCCTAAGTTAAGCAGCTAAAAAAGCCCTGTGTTTAAAATTCCCTCTTCCCTGATTTACATGAACTTCCATGCAAAACAGTGGATGAGTTTAATTTTCCACCTAAAATGGTCAAATGGTCTCCTGGATGTATCTGTCCATCTTGTCCTTTTTTTTTTTTTTTTTTTTCCAAATGTAGGATTTGTTTTTTATAGCTGTTGAGCTTGCTTGAATTCACAAGCTGTCATGGCCCCTTCAGGTGCAGGTTAGAGGCCAGCTTGCTGCTGAGATCTCCTGTCCAGGAGCAGCTTGCTGCTGAGGATCCTCAGTGCAGGCTCCCTCTCCATCTGGCAGTGGCATTAAACCTGAAGCTCTGGTGCTTGGCCCTTGCCCAAGCTACTCTGCAACAGCATTGCAATTGCACTTGTGCCATCTGGTACCTCCCTGATTCTCATCCTCATCCTCACCTGCTGGCTTGACTTACTGGCTTACCCTCAGACCTGGCTGATCTCATTTGATCCTGGTTATTGTGTCCAGACCTGAGTCCAGTTTTGAATCTCTGACTCAGCCTCATGGCTTTGGTTTTCTGGTGATGTTGCTGCCACTGTCTTCCTGGCTATGACTCTGGACTCCTTGCTTGCCTTCTTCTATGGAGTCATCTGTCCTTGCTGCTTTTTAGGACAGTCAAGTCTTCAGAGAAGGGATTGGCAACCATTACATTGAGCTTTAAGGATGGCTTTTAATGGCAGGTGGTGCTGAGTGGGTGCTGAGAGTTGGCAGGTCTCATGTGCTTTGGTCTTGGAGCTGAGCTGGAGGCTTTGTCTTGCAGAGGCAAGATACTCCTACTCAGTTAAATTCAGAAAGCATTTCCTGGTGTCTGGGTGTACACAAAGCCCTAACAGTTCTCTACTTGGAGCTCTGTTGGTAAAAAAAAACAGACTCAAGAAAGCCTGAGAAATTGTTGTTGGTGTCTGACAGCACTCAAACATCTCTGTCAGGTGCCAGATTATGTTTGCTGACATTTTCTTCTTATGTTTTCAGATCTGA